TCCGACACTTCCATTAGGCACGAAAGGCGCTCGCCTCTCAGTAGGGCAAAAGGCGCTAAAAAGCGTGCAAAGCGCTCGCCTCTGAGAACCTGAGCCGCCTGGGTATGTAAAATGCGATAAACCTATCGCCTGTATGCGCCTCACGCCTACGCTTTTTTAAACCAAGGTGTCAACATATATAAGAGCCAGAATATGTTCCATCTTTTATATGGTGGGATGATATGTGCTTAAATATCTGATTTAAGATACTTTAACAAAATAAAAGATTCCATTTTATCACTCTCTAAATATGCAGGAATCTTGCACTAGTGAGGGCAGATGTTTCAAGATTGCCCTTTTCTTCTGGATCAGTTGATGCTGTTCATGCTGGTGCAGCATTGCATTGCTGGCCATCACCTTCAAATGCAGTACGTTCTTGATTTTTTAAGTAACTGTTTCTTGAACAAGTTATTTCAGCGCAAAAAATATTCCACGGAAACGTTTTCCTCTGAGAACTTATCTTACAAGTTATCTTCCTTGAAACAAATGCTCTTTGTATCATTTTAATTCCGATTTCATATGTTGATTCCTGTTAGTCGACCCCAAACTCTTTTGGGGTTAAGGCTTGGATGTTGTTGTATCTTCCTTGAAACAAATGGATCTTAAAAGAAGGGATATTTTTCCCAATGTGGGGGAACATTTGGTGACTTGGGTGGTTCTGCTTTCTTGACCTTATTAATTTTGCGTCCCGTTTAACTTTTTGGGCATATAGCATAAGCATTCGGATCAGACTTGGCTATAGGACTCAGACTAGATCAATTGTAATATTTCAGATGAGAAATTAATCAATATAAAAACATTCTGATCACACATTCACACTTGGCCAGAAAGATCCAAACCAATATAAACCAGAGATATTAGAAAGATTCAGACTAGACCAGACTGGGCCGTAGCTTAAAGTTTAGACCACATCATATTTTTAGATGAAGCAAACAGGTCATCTATCATACTCCGTATATTCTAGGGAGACGCTATCAAAGTTTTTGTTGTTGTTGAGTGAGCTTGACTGCTGCAATTCTATTTTGTGAAGAACAGATAACTTTTCCATTCCCAACAATATTTACAACTTCGATTTTATCTAATCAAAACTTGTGAGTTTGTGACAGGTGGCGGAAATCTGTCGTATCTTGCGTAGTGGGGGTGTATTTGTGGGGACTACTTTTCTACGAGCCAGTCAAGCTACTCCTGCTATGCTTGTAATACAGGTGACTGCTCATCTTTCATCCTGTTGGGCTCAGCTATGTTTTATGCATCTAGAAATGACAAAAATAAGCAATCATTAACAAAGAATGATTGGTGTAATTTTTTGGACGGATGAGCCAATCAGGTGTGCACTATGCATGCCATCGTCATCGACCTGCATGGCTTTTGGTGATTTACCGAGTTTTTCTCATCACCAAGCCTGATGATTAGGAGATACTCTGGTGGAAATATTGTGATATCTGCAACACATTTGATTAATATATAGTTTAATGTCAAATTGGTAACAGAGGGCTCTGGAAAGCAGCTACAGCTACCTTGCGGAGGAGGAGATTGAAGACTTGTGCAGATCATGTGGTCTTGTCAATTATTCGAAGAATGTTCAAGGATCCTTCATCCTGTTTTCAGCTCAAAAATGCTGATCTTGTTCTTTGTACTTTGATGGTTTCAGCTAAAAGAACACATTAAACTAATTCTAGAATGATTTTAGATTTCTGAAATGTAGAGTAATAGAGAGCTGTAATTTAAGAATGTAAGTGTACGAAAATAATGAAAAGAAAGAAATGCATTTATTTTATACTTCCTCCGTCCCTAAATAAACTTTCATTTCACTTTTCGAGAGTCAACTTAAATCACACTTAAACTCTTACTTTATATATCAAAAATTTATAAAAAATGAATTATTTTGTGCAGGCTTTGTAGCGGGTTTAATGTAGTTTCTTAATATGTAAATTTTATTTACTAAAAATAATCCGAGTTTTCACAGGGATCATTTAACTTTATCGCTGGTCAAACTTCGTAACCCGTAATTGGAAGTTTTATTAGAGACGGAGGTAGTACTATTTTATAGCAAGTTTTTAAACTCCTGTCAGAAATCCCTCGCGACGACCTCTATCAGCGTTTTCTCTGCCATAGGCGGTGGTTTTGGTTCCTAGCCTGGTATAGGTTGTTTGGACGGGCGGCGCCGACATTTCATCGACGCTTGGGAGTCCCGATTTTGCAAGTGTTACTTCTGGCGGGAAGATCGATTCGAGGAAGGCCTGGGTCTTGGAGGTGGTGTCGCGGATCGAGAGCATTTCACAGGGTTGAGGCGCGGTCCCAATTCCCCCTTCTAGATCGGTGATTCCAGTAAGGCTTGTGTGATCTCAAGCCTGTGGCAGACTGTTCGGATCGTGGAGGTTTTTGGGCGAATCTCAGTTGCAGCGCAAGGGAGACTATAGGGATATGGAGACTGCTCTCATTTGGACTGGTTGTGCTTGTGCGGTATTTTGGCCAAGAGATGGAGGCGACTCATTGGCAGATCAGGGTGCTAAAGGAAGAAGATGAAGGGATGAAGATTCGCCCACCTCCTGAACCGCTGTCGGGTTGGAAATGGGTGACTAGGGGTCGTAACACCGCGCTGGAAGATTGGTTTCAGCTGCTCAATAAGTTTATCCTGCTTAAATTCTTTTTCCCCATTTTTAGTCTGTTTACTAAGAAATTCGGTGCTATCGTTTTTGGTAATAGGCTTTTTAGGATGACTGAGGGTTCGGCTAGACTTGATATTGTTAGTGGGGGACGGATCTATTTGTTCAGCCATAGTTGCATTAAGCCCGTCTGGTGGTTAGCGATTCGTCTTGCTCCTTTAGAGGTGATTGTCTCTATGTCTAATCGTAGGGCTAAAAGTAGTAGTTGGAAGGTGAAGGTTGATGTCAGTTCTGATCACGTTGAATTTGATGTAACGATCCTGATTCTAATTATATCAATATAGTCGTTTTCCTTTAAAAAAAACTCGTGTCTGTTCCGAGCTATATAACATTGGAGCCAAAAGGCCCAAAACCCAGCAAGACTTGCCGTCATTGTTCATATGCCAGTCCAACCTCACCCATGGCCCATCCCCAAATAAAACAAATTATCGATTGGGACTAGAATCTCGCATTTTTGTGCACCTGTGATATACCCTCCCTTTATTGAGTTCCCGATTCTTGTTCAGGACCGATGGACCGTTTTGTATATGAATAGTGGTGAAATTTGGAAAAATGTGATGTTACATTGTAAATACTGGTGAAATATGTCAATGCGGTCGTTAGATTTTTTCTAATGACTTCTTACTGAGCATTTTATTATGACTTCATCATGATTTTTCTGCGGTGCTTGGGGAGGTGTGTGGTGGGGGTTGGGACAGAGATTGAATATAAATTATAATAATTTTTTTTGGATTACTGAAACAAAAGGTAAGTTATATATTTAGAAAAATAAAATATAGTCATTTTTTGTATTTCCCAAGGGTATAAGTAATATTTATGTCCTTTTCCTATAGTTTAATAGTGGGATGTGTCCCGAATGATAATATCACACATTTATCTTTTCATCAACATATTATAATGATTAGATCCAATCGTCAAGAAATCCATCTAGCCCAAGATGTTACTCCCTCTGTTCTATACTCCCTCCATCCCAAAATTATTGTCCCGTTTGGTTTTACACACATATTAAGAAAATGACACTGTAGCAACACTGTTTGACACTGTTTTGCATTGTTTGACATTGTTTTGTTTACCAAATAAGGAAGTTAAAGAGACAATAATTTCGGGACGGACCGAAAAGGAAAGCGGGACAATAATTTTGCGTCGAAGGTAGTAATAAATTTCTATTTTGACTTTGCATGGAAATTAAAACAGTGGAAATTGTATGATAAAAGTTATGTGCAAGAAAGAAAAAATGAAAGAAAGAAAAGAAATGTCAACAGTTATATTGGAATGATGAATGTAAAAGAAAGGAGTAATTTGAGTTTGCGCCCATTTTATTGTCTAAATTGGATATTGCAACCCGTTTTTTTTTGTTTTTGCACCTCGATCCCATATGAAAAGACAAAAATGTCCCTACATTAACAATTCTGTTAGCCTTCAACATATTTCTGATCGAGGACATTTTTATCTTTTCATATGAGGTTGAAGTGCAAAAATAAAGATTTTTGAAAATAGAGTGCAAAGTCCAATTTGGACAATAAAATGAGGTGCAAACTCAAATTACCCCTAAATCACAAACTTACCTAAATCACAAACTTATGTCGAGGGGTTCATAAATGAGGTAAAGGTCAGATTGGTACTTGATGTTGCCTAAAAAGGGTCAAATAAGTTCTTATTGTCCGTCCGTCGCCATTTGAGGCGGTTCCCGGTGGAATTTTTTGATGAAATTTTTTGAGCATCTTATTCATTAAGTCTAGTTTACTCATATCAAATTTCATCGAAAACTTCAATTGGGAAGACATTCAAATGAATTTTTGAAGATACTGCGCTTTTAACTGTGCAGTTATATCCACAAATTCATTTGAATGCCTTCCCAGTTGATTTTTAGCTGAAATTTGGTATGAGTAAACTAGACTTAATGAATAAGATGTTTAAAAAAATTCATCAAAAAATTCCACCGGAAACCACCCCAAATGACGTCGGCCGAACAAAACATTATATATAAGAACTTATTTGATCCTTTATATGCGATCTCACCCTTATCTCGTTCATAAATCAAGCAGTCACACTTTCGTGAATCGTGACTTTTCATCTATGGAGTAATAAAGTTTTCACGGGCCAAAATAATAATAATGCCGCAATAAATAAAAACAGATGCTCGAAGATTTTAGACTGTCGTGAGTGTTGAGTGGTTGCCGATCCATCAACAGACCAACAAAGTAAATAGTAATGTCTGCAATTTGCATATAGCTCTTAAAAGTCCAAAAGCACCGTCCAATATTCTGGGTACCCCATTTAATTCTTCCCATAAATACTCGGTAATATTCTATTCAATCCCCACGCTTTCTTTCGTTTTCATTTAAACCCAGCTTTGTTCCACCACTTCTCCTATCTTCTTGCTCTGACCAGATCAAATTCCACTACTTTACTCTTTCCTCTTTCCTATTCTCCAACTGATTCTTCAGAGGGTTAAGGATGCTAAGCTTGAAGGGAGGGACAAGGCCGCCATGGGTGGGTCTCGGAGCTTCCGTTTGGCTCACAATAGCCGCAGGAAATGGGAACAACTTCCCACTCTATTCCCACACTCTCAAGTCAGTTATGGGTCTGAACCAGCAGCAGCTCACCATGTTTGGGGTGGCAAATGATATTGGGGAGAATATAGGCCTCATTCCTGGCCTTGTCTGCAACAAGTTCCCACCTTGGGTTGTCCTTCTCATTGGTGTTTTTTCTTGTTTCATTGGCTATGGAACTCTCTGGCTTTCTGTTAGTGGTGCTGTTCCCAATTTGCCTTATTGGCTGGTAAATTCAACTCATGCTTTTCGTTCTTCTCATTTATTTACTTTTATTATTGGTCTGCTTTATTATTTTCCATCATTTGCCATGGAGCAAAGATTCATTTTTTTTTGGATTGAGAATATCAATATGATTGAATAAAGCAAAATGACTTACTTAAGTGTATGCTTCTTTGTTCTTTGTTATGAAGCACCCGTGCAATTTTCGACACGTTTTCTTTATCATGGGTCATCCCGGAAACGGTCTGTGCTTTAGTACAGGGGTAAGACTGCGTATATCCGACCTTCTTACCCCACTGAAGGTGTGAGAGCCTTTGTAGCATTAGGGTAATGGTGATGATGATTGGTTTGCTTTATTAGAAAATTGCATTCCATTTTTTTTTGGTTCAGAGAAGGTTTTGGAGGAGCTAGTCTATATCTTGATATAAATTTTGGATATTAAAAATGAAAGTGAACAATATACTTCGCATCATATAATATGTGAGCATATACTGCTCCCATAACCATTTTATTTGTTGTTTTAAAACTTTCTGTTTATATAGATGTATTATGTATATTAATCCATCCAAAACGTTCTTCCTCAAAACTCCCCTTCCAAACTAACCCGTCAAAGCTCCACTTTCTTGAACTAAATAAGCCTGTTTAAACTTTGGAGATGGAGAGCAGGCTTTGATTTGGTCCTCCCACTTCTTATGTTTCATGGACTTCATTAATAAACTGGTGGGGTGTTCCCGGCTCCCACCCCAATACCTTCTGGTAGTGGCTTAACACCGGGATCTAAAACAATGTGCGTGTTGCTTTATGGGAACTCTAATTTTTATCCCATTGTTTTACGCATTTTAGAATCACTGTTTAAACAATTTGTTGATCACTTGAACTAAAGAATGCTGTGTAAACTGGGATGGTTGAGAATTCATATGTTAGTTTGTGGTGGCCATCTAATAGTCTCATCTTTATTCCAATTGGTTTTTAGTTTGTTTAACCCCTTCAAAACCCTTCATCCAAACGGACCGACCAGAAAGGGAAGATTCTCAAAGTTGCGTTGACATGAACTAGAGAAGGACGTAAAACTGGGAAGGTGGAGAATTTGTTTTTCAGTTTTTTCACTTTTTGTTTGCGCCTATTAAAATTCTAATCTAATTTCATTTCTTTCTGTTTTATTGCATTTGGAATCACAGTTTGATATATTGGTTTGAACTTGTACTAAAGGAGCTACAAACTGGGAAAGATTGAGAATTTGTTATGTACTTACTTACTTATGTCCTTCTATGGCGACTGTTCTAGAAATCTACTCCCTTATTTAATTCATTTTTAGGAAAATGAATCTAAATAATATAAACTATTGGGTATGGATTAAAAATGAATCCAACATTATAAATTACCAATTGATATCTAAACTATGTCAATACGTACGAAAAATAATACAAGCACATTAGAAGATTTTGATATTGGAAAATATGATCGTATTATGTTTTAGTGAATAATGAAATTGAGATTATATTTGAGTGTATGGTGAATTGTTGGTTTTATTTAAAGAAAAAATGACCAATATTTGACTAAATAAACACAGTGGACAAAAAGGTGACTTTCGGTTTTATACTGAAGTGACAATGAGAATATTCATAGTAAGTTCTATTTCAAAAGTATTTTAGGAAAAAACCCTTATTTAAGGTCATTCTGCATTCCCCCACTTTTTTGCATTTCGGAACCACTTTTTGATATAATGTTCTGTATCAACATGAAACTGATACATGGATCATTATTTTGGTGATAGATAGTCATTACTCAAGTGTCTTATGTCCATTTGTCCATGACTCCAATATAACTTTCTTCTTTTCAACTGAGAGCATTATAATTAACATTTAATCTACATGTTGTGACCGTTGGCAGTTATGGATAGCGATAGTGGTGGGTACAAACAGCAGTGCCTGGTTTAACACCTCTTTAATAGTGACCAACATGAGAAACTTCCCGCTAAATAGGGGCATGGTTTCTGGCATCCTTATGGGTTACGGTGGACTTAGTGCGGCAGTCTTCACTGAAGTGTACAGTGTATTGCTTCACAACTCTTCCAACCTCTTATTGTTCCTAGCTGTTGGGGTACCTGCCATATGTATCATCATGGTGTTCTTCGTCCGCCCGTGCACTCCTGCTTCGGGTGACGACCCATCAGAGAATCACCACTTTCTGTTCATCCAAGCTGCCAGCGCCATTCTTGGTGTCTATGTTCTCACAGCAACAATTCTGGAAGACGTTTTCGTGTTAAGCGTTCCTGTTTCCTATGCCATCCTTATTATCATGGTTCTCCTTTTGTCAGCCCCACTTGCAATTCCTTTAAAAATGACTTTTTATCCATCAGTTCTCAGCAAGTCTTTCATACTAGATAAGGGTGCTGAAGAGACGACAACGGAGAATCTCCTCTCGCCTAGCCTGGAAAGCTTTGATTCTGGGGAGGGAATCTCTGAGGTTGATATGCTTCTTGCGGAGGGTGGAGGGGCAATTAAGGAAAAGAGGAGGCCTAGAAGAGGTGAAGATTTTAAGTTCACAGAAGCTATGGTCAAGGCCGATTTCTGGTGTTTGTTTCTTGTCTGTTTTGTTGGGGTTGGTTCTGGGGTTACGGTCTTGAACAACCTTGCACAGATAGGGATCGCACAAGGTGTTCAGGACACTACAATCCTGCTTTCGCTCTTCAGTTTCTGCAATTTTGTGGGCCGTCTTGGTGGAGGGGTCGTTTCTGAACATTTCATCAGGTTTGTAGTATTTCTCCAATTCTGTATTTAATTCTTTATAAATCCTACATAAATTCCAATTTTGACCTGCTTCCTTTTTATAGATTTACACCTTGACCTTCCCTATTTTCCTAAAAAGGATAAAAAGCAAGACTTATCTCGGAATTTCGACACACTTTCCTTATCTTTATGTCGGGACTTTGAATTTGGAACAGAGGGAGTATATATTTATTTGAACGTGGCAATGTTGTTACAGGTCAAAAGCTCTTCCAAGAACATTTTGGATTACATGCACACAAGCAGTGATGGCACTTACATACCTTCTATTTGCTTCTGCACTTGATGGAACCCTCTACATTGCAACCGCTCTACTTGGGATCTGCTATGGAGTTCATTGCGCTGTAGGGGCCCCCACTGTATCCGAGCTGTTTGGCTTGAAGCATTTCGGGCTAATTATCAATTTTATTGGAATAAGTAACCCACTTGGCGCTTACCTCTTCTCAGGCCTCCTTGCGGGATACTTGTATGATGAAGAGGCTGCAAAGCAGCATAGCGACACTTGCATCGGTCCTAACTGCTTTAGGGTAACATTTCTAGTTCTGGCGGGACTTTGCTCTGTCGGATGCCTTCTTAGCATACTCCTGACTGTGAGGATAAGGCCGGTGTACCAAATGCTTTATTCTGGGAGCTCATTCCGCTTGCAACAAAGCTTAGCTTGAACCTTTGAAGTTTTGTGGACAACTACTTTGGGGATCTTTGCAGTTTTAGTAATCTATAGATCCTATGCTTGCTCCCTCTTTTTATCACTGTGGAGTAAAGAGTAAGAGTTTGTTGTTTGCTCGTCATAAACATTAGAATTGTGTGTGTGTTTATTGTGCTTATTTCCGTAACATATACGTAGTAGTAATATACGTAGTTGTTTTGCTAGGTGTACACATTTTGTGCACACAAAATGTGTACACCAAGTTTTTTTCTAAATACAAATGTCGCCATGCCTCCATTGCAAGTTCTAATGGAAACTTTATTAATTTGAGCAGTGCAATTTATTACCAACTCCTTTCATAGTTGAGCCTTTACTGTGTTCACCGTTCCAGGAAATATGTTTTGCTTTACTTCCAATTTTTTCCTTCTAAATTCTAAAATACGACTAAATTTAAGTCTAGTTTTAAAGTGATTATTTTTATGGATGGCTTAGGATGTTAAAAGAGCCTTCTGCACGATGAATATTATCGAGACCAATCTTCACACTAAGATGAGATATGACCTTTTTACGGATTGCTTAAAATGTTTTTAATTGGATTGAATTTTTTATATCTATTCTAATTTGATCTGTTTAAGTTTAAGTTTGTTCTGGTAAATTTATGATCTTTGTATATTATAACCATTAAAATCATGTATTGTCCATTTAAGTTTGACCTAGTGTGGTCTTGCCTATTTAAGTTTGGTGTGGTATGTTTTGGTCCGATCTGAGAATGAAATAAACCAAGTAAAAACACGGTGTATTACACTGAGAGAGATATTTTAGAAGCATTGCCAATGAAACAATTATGCAACATTTTTATATATGAAAACTTACAGGCTTAATTTATTGAAGTTGCAGTAATGAACTATTTACTACTTGTATAGTCGCGCATAATTTATGCTGGTGACTTGCTTTTTATTGTTTTATTACATTTAGAGTTGTAATTATAAAGTAAGTTTAGTATTCAATATGCTCAACTCTCACAAATCTTTGGATCCGCCAGAAGACCGTCACCATAAGGGAAAATTTGACATAAGCACGATCTGATAGGTCCACGGAGGTCAGTAGGCCTGAGTGCGACATAGGTGGTCGTGGCTATAGATTGGCAGTAGCGGTGGAGAGGCCGCGAGCCTCAAATGGTGAAGACAGGGCCGGTCCTGATCTTTTATGGGCCCGGGGCGATTGAAAAAGAAGGCCCTTAAAAGGTTATATAAATATATTGCAAAAGCTTAACTTTATATACGCAAATTTCAACATACAAAGTAATGTAAGTCTTTCATCAAAGTCTTACTCCCTCTGTCCCATTTTGGTTGTCCTACTTTCCTTTTTGGGTTGTCCCAAAATGAATGTCTTGTTTCCTTTTTTGGCATGAAATATGTGGTTCTTATTAATTCACTTTATTCTACTCAAATCTCAACCACAACTTTTACTTTTCAACCACTTTATTAATAATCGTGCCAAATTGAAAGTGGACAACCATTATGGGACGGAGGGAGTACTATATAAACTAAACGAATAAAAATTATATAAAAAAATTAAAAATAAAACCAGAGAATTACTTGTGAAATTGAAATTTCAAATTTGGAATATATTTTTCAGAAAATTATGAGAGTGTTGATTGCTGAGCAAAACGAATTAAAGTCCAAAGATGAAACCTTGAAATTAGGCCTGCCTAACGGGAAATGATGTCAGACCGGGGTCATTTGAGGCCCTTCCCGATAGAATTTTTTCATGAAAATTTTTTAAATATATTCTTCATGAAATCTATAATATCTCCACAAAGTTTCAGATTAAAATTCAACTTGAAAGTCAGTTAAATAAATTATTGAAAGATAGTGCGCATTATTTATATACACAAAGCGCAGTGTGTTTCAATATTTTATTTAACTGACTTCCCGGTTGATTTTTAAACTAAAATGTTGTGAATGTAATTTACACTTGATGAAAAATACTCTAAAAAAGTTTCAAAAAAAAATTCCTCCATAAAGCGCCCCAAATGACCTCGGTCTGATATGAATTGTCCTCTCTATATTTATCCATTTATATATAATTATGGGCCCCTGTAAATGTTGGGCCCGGGGCACAAGCCCGGCCTGCCCTTGTCCAGGGTCGGCCCTGAGTGGAGAAGACGAGCCGGGGGAGTGATTTCAGAAGTTAGGCATCGACAATGAACAGAGTGGAAGAGTGCTTTTTTTTTTTTTTAATAATCAGGGGTGTTTTAGACATTTACTACCCTTTGGTCTTTTTTGTCCAAAATTATAAATAGTCATATTCTTATCCACCTAAAAGTTCTATAATAGAAGGAATAGTTTTGTCATTATTCCTGTATATTATTCCTATTTCGAGAATATTATTTCGAGAATATTCAATAACTAGGCAATTAAGCAATTTCCGATAAACCAAGCGGTTCCTATTTCAGTCTCGGGCAGTCCTGTTCAATTTTTAGTCATACTCTTACAGATACTAGTCTTCTAGTATTCATTCTTGGGATAATACAAATAATAATCACTCCCTATACGAATGGATTGTATGGAAGAAGAATGAGATCAGTCAAATACTCCGTATAAGCAAAGCAAGCTAACTTAGCTAAGGCAGGACAAATAAACACTCCAGTTTTACTTGAAGGGAATGTAATGCCACACTTTACGGATGAATTTGATAAAGATGGTGACAATTTTGACAGCGTAAGGATGAAGCCTTGTGAAAAGCTTAGCTAATGGAATGGAATTGGTTAAGGGTCTGTTTGCAATCCATTAAAAAAGTGTTTTTAATTTTTTTTTAAGAAAAAAACACTTATTTTACCAAACACTACCAACTTTTACTTTCTCGGCTTCCGTGAAGAATCTACTTTTTACTTTTTCTATTACACAAAAGGCACTTATTTTACCAAATACTACCAACTTTTACTACTAATCACTTTTTCCCCAAAAGTGCTTTTATTTAAGCACAAGTGATTGCAAACAAAGCCTAAAACACATTCAAACTTATGGGGCGGAGCCAAGGCACTGGGCCGGACTGCGCCAGTATAAAGAATTTTTTTTAAAAAACATCACACGAAATTTTTTACCTTAAAAATTAAGCCATTTTTAAAATTTGGGGTGGGCCATGGCCTAGGTTGGCCCACCCCTAGCTCCGCCCATGGGTCACATACATTATAGTTGGACCACCAAGGCACCAAGGGACCAAAGTCTAACCCTCTTCAGCTCTTCATCTTACCCCCAAGATATTCCAAAGCATAAAATAGTTCTATATAACTGCATCATCAAAATCCAGAAATGTTGATATGAAGAGAGCATAAAATAGTTCTATATAAGAGCATGGGGCGGGACGGGCTTGAGCCCACCTTCGTGGACTGGCTGCGGGCAATTTAATTAATTTTAATTATTCCATTTATTTTGTTTTCTAGTATAAATGTATAATTTAATTAGGACTTCAATTCTCATTAGAACTAGAGGTTTCCTATTCTATTTAGTTTCCTATTATGATTTAATTAGGATTCCTATTCTTGTTAGACCTAGAGGATTATTTATACCCCTTGTATGCTTCATTCTTGATCATCTTGGAATAAAAATTGGTTTAGCCTTTTGACTCTGGGCAACGGTATTTGTTTATCGTTGATTATCTAGGCAACAGTTCACCCTGTTGATTTTATTTTTCAGTTCTTATCAAATGTTCTATATATATATATATACCTGCAACATTTGTGCTCATTCATCCTCCCAACTCACTTCGCGTATCAGATCAAAACTTTCAACGTAGAAACAAATATGAGCGCTCCTGCAATCATCATCTCATCAATACATTCTTCTTTTAGTTTGTCTTCTTCAATATCATAAGGATAAGTTCTCCCATAATAAAGAGATGTCACTAGTACCTTATTCCCATTGAGACTGTTAAATGCCTTACACAGGAAAAGTTTGGATGAACAAAGTGCGATATTAACATATGAACTCCTCCTATCAGGTTGACCTTTTAGGACGGAACCCCGACATGGTATCAGAGCCAAATCGATCTATGGTGTGGGGCGCCTTACGATGAATGATGACACGATAAAAAATGACAATTACGGCTGGATGAAAAAAAAAAGCGGAGCGATAAAAAAAATGAATGAAGACACGATCCAGACGAAATGTCTGGTCATGAGGAGGGGTGTTAAATGTCCCACACCGGAAAAGTTTGGATGAACGAAGTGCTATACGAACACATGAGCTACTCCTCCTATCAGGTTGATCTTTTAGGATGGAACCCCGTGTCTTAACAGAGACAAAAACTTAAGGGTGTAAATGTCATGTGATGGAAATCTAAAGGCGTAGACGGAAAAGGATGTGACCCAAGAGTCTGGTTTTCCATATTCTTTCATAATTGACACTTGAATCACACTGCTCTTTCTATCATTTTGATCTATGCAGAAACATCCATCTATGATTCCCGTATCAACTATTAAGTCATCTTCTATCGAATTAATCGGCTTAGGGGAGGTCAGAATTTTGAATGTGTCATCAACCAGATCGAAGTAAACAATCTTATTGCGGTATCTCAAATGATCAGAAAAATCATGGCAATGCCCATATTCAAATCATACTATCCAATGGATAGTGATGGAGTATATGGCCCAGGAACCCCCGGCCCATAGACTCCTACTTCTCCTACACAAGTCCATTGAGCCCAGAGGACATCTCAGGCCCAAATACAACGGCCCAAGCTTCAAAGTAGCCCAGAATACACACTGGGGTGCCTTCGGCCTCCTTGGCCGAAGGCTCCGAAACTCACAGGATAGCCTTCTCTGGCATAAGAAGCTGCTGGGAGAAAACGGGCGAAGACATGAGCCTTCGGCATTCCCATGCCCTCGGCACCAGGGGAAGCCTTCGGCTGAACCAAGCCTTCGGCCACACCAGGGAGCCCTCGGCTACACAAGGAGCCTTCGGCTGAACAGGCTCAATCATCAAAGATTCCTTTTAGAGACAGCCAACCACCGCATTTAATGCCACGTCACATCCGCCAACCGCATTCAATGCGGTTGACGTACCACTGCCGGTGCCACTAGGCTGATGTGACCCTTCGGCCGTTGGATTACTGACACGTGTCCTCTCATCGCATTTATTGCTGCTATAAATAGCAGCCCATTTCTCCTTGTAATACACACAACCTACATCTCAACTCCACGCTGAGTTCATTTAATAAAATCAACTCTCTCTCCTCCTATTTACTCTGACTTCTCCCTAGATATTCCCGCAATAACCCTTCGGATAAGATACCCCCCGGGTAGACTATCCATCATTTGGTGCTTTCATTGAGAGGTCAGAACAAATCAAGTAAGAAGCCCTCCCTCTCTACC